TGCCACTCAGAAAGGAGGAAGAACCTGTCCTATCAATGTAGTAAATGTCTACACTGACGTGCTCCAGCGGCACAGCTGTAGATTAGCTCTGTGAAGTGTCGACTAGCTCTTAAAAGTCAGAGTCGATGTAGCGACATCAGTTAGGGGTGTGAATAAAAGAATTAGATACGTTCACGGACGACAGGTCCATCAATGGCTGTTAGCCAAGATGGTCAGGGATGCAACTCCATGCTCTCAGTGTCCCTAAACCTCTGACTAGAGCCCTGCAAATCCGTGGGTCTCCGCTTTATATCCACAGACCATTTCGGCGGAGAGCAGCTCTGACAGTAAGAGCAGGCGGGCAGCTGTGAGGAACAGTGGCGCGGATCCTCCACTTGCCCTGGGAGGAGGGTTTGGGGGACAGGGACAGGGGCTGCTCGGCCCCCTGCCCAGGGCAGGTGGAGGGTCCGTCGTGGCACCACACAGCTGTCTGCCCGGCTCTTACTGTGGCTGGGCTGTGGCTCCGAGTCTCCCCATCCCTCAGCCGGAGCTGGGCTGGGGAGAGCTATGCTGGCAGCTGTGGGGAGCCTGGGTTTCTCCACCTGCCCTGGGTGAGGTGGCTGGGGGGCTGGAACACTGGGTGGAGGGCTGCTTGGGCCCCTCGCCCAGGGCAGGTGGAGGGTCCACCACCATTCCCCACAGCTGCCAGCGCGGCTCTCCCTGACTGGGCTCCGGGGGGGGGGGGGGGGAGTTTACTCGGAACTTCAGTCCGTCCCCCGGTGTAGAGTCCGGCCTCAGTCCGGAGCCTCAGTCCGACCCCCCCGATCTGACCCAGTATGGCCATTCTTATGAACAACACACATCCCTGATGGACAGAGCTACACCTAACTCACTGTAGACACAGCTATGGAGATGGAAGAACGTGTCCGTCAGCATAGCTAACGTCCCAGTGTGGCATTCCTACAACAGAAAAGCTCCATCCATTGGCGTAGGCTGCGTCTCGGCTATGAAGTCACACCGCCATCGTTAGGCCAAGGTTTTAAAAACTGTCACCTTTCTTGCAAGTTTTGGTTTTGCGCTCCGAAAACCAGCCTTCAACACTCCTCTGAAAACTCTGCCAAATGGTTTTTTTTCATCCTTGCCAACATTTTCCCTCAGAACCCCTCCTCCTCTGTTTCCTGACCGGCTCTAACTACAGGCGTTAAATAGAAACCAAATAAGGGCCTTTGTGGAGGGGTGGGATGGGGTGTCAGAACCTCGCCACTCCCAAGTTTGGTGCTCGCCTCTCTGTGGGCGGACGGATGCGGCCTAATGGCCTGTCTCTATGCAATCACCCCTTGGTCAGGATAGTGGGCCCTAACGGCCAGAGTCCATATAACTCCCCCCCACAGGTGGGGTAGTGCGGCCCAACAGCCAGAGTCCATGTAACTCACCCCAAGAGTCAGGGCAGTGTGGTCCAATGGCCAGAGTCCATATACCTCGCCCCAAGTGTCAGGGTAGTGTGGCCCAATGGCCAGGGTCCATATAACTCCCCCCTCACTGGTGGGGTAGTGCGGCCTAGTGGCCAGAGTCCATGTAACTCACCCCAAGTGTCAGGGCAGTGTGGCCCAATGGCCAGAGTCCATATAATTCCCATGCGTGTGTGTGTGGGGGGGGGGGATGGTAGGGGGACCCGGGCCCGCCCTCTCCACAGGATCCCGACCCAGGGCCCTGATAGTGGCAAGTTCCCCTTGCCACTAGCTCAGCGGGGATCAGCCAGCAACATGCCGAGCGTCTGTGCGGCTCTAATGCCGTTTGCCTCTAAAGCTCCCCTGGGTCACTTTCTACCATAAACGCCAGGTTCTCTGCTTCGGGGGGTCCTCCGGTCTGTTCCCCTCCTGTGATGTCCTCCATCTGGGCCTCAGGGTGTGTCCCGGCTTGGCTGGCCTCTAGATCCTAGTGCGCAAGCTGTCTCTCCTCGGGAGCTGGCGGCGTGCTTCCTTCTCCTCTGGCAGTCAGCCCAGATTGAGCAGCTCTGCGGCTTTTATACCTGTTCTCCAGTTGGAGCATTCCCAGCAGAGCTCCCAGGGCATGGCTTCCTCTGCTAGGAAGGAAGGGTTAACCCCTGAGGTACCAGTGCGGGGCCACTCTGCCCCGTCACAGCCTTCATGGGGAGAAAATACTGGCTATTGAAGGGCGCTTTAATGTAACCGAAAAAGGCAGAACAAGAACCATAGGCTGGAAGCTAAAGCCAGGCAAATCCTCGTTAGAAACAAGGCACAAATGTCTAACAGTGCGGGTGATTAATCACTGGAAGAAACTCCCAAGGGAAGTGGTGGATGCGCCGTCTCTTGATGTCTCGATGCCTTTCCGTAAGATGCTTTTAGTCAAACACAAGTCACTGCGCTCAGTACAGGAGTAACTGGTGAAATTCTTCGGCCTGTGTTATTCGGAGTGGTTTCTTGCAACGCGTTAACTCCTTATGTTTAACCATCTCGTCCACCTTGTTTTGAGCTGGGACACGCTGAGGACCTTTCCCAGACCTGCAGAAGAGCTCGGTGGACCTCGAAGGCTTGTCTCTCTCACCAACAGACAGTTGAACCCATAAAAGCTATTACCAGAGGCAACGCGTGTGTGTCAGACATGCCAAACCCATGAAAAAACCCCTCAGAAATTGGGCTGATTTTTGGCTTAATTGGCTTGTGAGTTGCTTGTTGGCTAGTGGGCTTGTAGCTTGTCGCTTGTTGTAGCTTGTTGCTTCTTTTATTTTGATCGGCTCCTGGCATGTAGGGGCAAGGGGGAAGCAGGGGTAAGGGGGGGCAGCGGGGACAAGGGGCAAGCAGGGGCAAGGAGGGGAGAGAGTCAGGGGTGCACAGCGGGCCCACCCCAGTCCCAGACTGCACGCTGGGGGGATCTAGTCACATAGAATGTTGGGGTTCTTAGGGATTGGCTTGTTTTGGCCTTGTTTTGAGAAGGGATTAGCTTGATTTTGGGCTGATTGTGAAAGTCGGGGTGCTGATTTACCACAGGAAAGTTGGCAACTGTGGTATGTGTGTGGGGGGGTCACCGCTCTGCCGCCCTGCCCCCCAGCAGCAGGCAGCCCCGTTCTGCGACCCCATGAGAACCCCAGCAGCTGAGGAAGTAGGATGCAGCAGGGACAGTGCAGGGGTGGACTGATGAGCCGGAGGTGATAACGTGTGGGTGCGAAGGGCTGCTCAGCTAGCAGCGGCGTTCTCGCCCGAAGACGGTTTCCTGTGGGCCAGTGTGACCGTGAGGCTGTTTGCAGAGGTGTGACCTGCTGCAGCTCAATTTGCAAACCCTGATGCCCCTGAGGCTAGTTCCAGCAGCCCCCGTTTTGTCTGCAGACCTAACAATGGGGCATTCACACGGCCCAGTGATGGCTACACTTAAAACGCTGGACACTCACTACGGCAACGGGAGGGGTTCTCCCGGGAGGTGGTACGTAGGGCGGTGGAAGAATTCTTCTGTCGACCTAGCGCTGTGTACTCTAGGGGTTAGGTCGGTACAGCTGCATCTCTCAAGGGCGTGGATTTCCCCCCGAGACATGCACCGATGCTGCCATAAGTTTTCAATGCAGACCATCCCTCCGTCTTTCTTGGTCCATGGCTCTCTTCCGGGACCGGCGCGCATTCTCTGCTTCCCTGAATCTCCACTCAGTCCGCTGCAGGGCGTATGCCATGCAGTGGGCTCTCAAATACTCCCTGGTCTGCGCTTCTGTCTCATGGATGGATAAACTCCTAACATAGCAGCAGTGTGGTCCAGTGGGTAGGGCAGCACCAGATGAATTCATTGGACTTAGATTTGTGTCCTAGCTCAGCCGTCTGGGTGACTTTCAGCAAGTCAGTTCACCTCTGTTTCCTCTCCCACCCACTGTCTTGTCTATTTAGTTGCAAGCTCTTCAGGACAGAAGCAGTTCTCAACCTATTTACCATAGTGGGATGCATATGCAGCTCTCTATGTGTTATGTGGGCCACAATCCCATCCACACTATATATATACTACATGTATGGCCCTGAGGCTGTCACATGGGCCACAACTGTGTGCTGATTGGGCCGTAAGCAGCCCGTGGCCCGCAGGTTGAGAACCACTCACAGAAGGTCGCTTAGCATTTGTATGTAGAGCAGCAATGGGACCATGTTGGTGCTACGGTAACGTAATAATAAATCTTGGTGGGAATCTTCCATGCAGCCGCGGGGATTATTCCCTCTTCCCACAATTCCCCAGGTCACAGGGATTTCTCCGACAATCCTGAGCAAAAATGACCCACAATGCAATGGGGGCAAGGATCGGATTGCATGATAAGGACTTACAGCTGGTTGAAAAATGGGCGAAAGCTTCCACGTTCTTGAATCAAGGGTGGTTCTTTTTCTGAAAGCCCGGCTGTAGTTCAAAGAGGAATTAACTCCGGGGAGTCCTATGGCTTGTGTTACATAGGTCGGAGGTCAGGGGTAGCCTGACCACGGGCCAAATCCAGACCACCAGATGCTTTTGAACGGACCCCAAAATCTTTTTGTTTTTTACTTATTTATTATCATTGTTGTTGGGGCATTTTTAAATTATGGGGTCTGGACCTTGACTAGACCGTGACCAAGAAATTGGGATGTGGACAAAAAATAATTGACAACCCCTGGGTCCGATGATCACAGTGGTGCCATTTGGCCTTAGAATCGATGGACCCTGCTTCATTTGGAAGGTTTTTCAATGTTTCATTTATTCACATTTTTGTGTGTGTGGAAATTTTCATCAGACATTTTTTAGAACTTTTTCATTTTCAATTTCCCCCCCATTTTTCAGGGGGAGGATGGTGTGGATTTTTTCTTCTTTCCACCCATCCCCCTGATCTTTTTCCTTTTGCCACTGGAAAAAAACAAGAGGAGGGGAAAAAAGGGGATGCGGGAGAGGAAAAATAAGTAACTAAATATTTTGTTTTCCAAAAAAGCCCTCAAAATACATTTATGGGTGAAAAGATCTGGTTTTGAAAAGGCCATTTTTTTCACCCCCAAAATGGTTAACGCTTTCACTTTTGACAAGTCTATAGGGGCCTGTCCTTGTGCGAGACATCTATACACCACGGAGGGAAGTATTGTCAAGGATCATTAAACTTTCTAAAAGATACGCCCCAATATAAAACTTCGAGAACCAATGAGTTAGAGTGTAACAGGGTGCTGGCCGAAAAGGTTCTGGCCAGGCCCCTGTTAGCCCAGCTCCAATTAAGGGGTATTAATTGGTACTGGCTGGGTGTGGCTCACCTAAGGGGTTAAGAAAAAACACCTGCGGTCCGTCTTAGTCAGGAGGCTATATAAAGCTGGCAGGAAGGAAGCGGGGTGGGGACAGGAAAGGGAGGAGCAGCCTGTGGTGGTAGTAGTTCCCAACTGGCTGAAGAAGCTAGTTGTCTCCCAGGGAGTGACTGGAATGGACTGTATAGAAACAGTGGTGGGAACTGACACAAGGAATAAAAGGGCCCTGGCGCTTGCATATTAAGCGGTCTCCGCCTGATTTTTGGGACAAGCAGTGAAGCGCTCCTTTCACACAGCAAACCTCTGAGTGCGACCCCCTTCATAAATTAAAACACTTCTTTTTATAATGCACACTATTATAACTGCTGGGTTTGGGGTGTAGGGCGCGACAGCTCGCGGCCCCCCCATGTAATCACCTCGCGACCCCCTGAGGAGGCCCGACCCCCAGTTTGAGACCCCCCTGCTCTAACTCAAATAGCTGCGGTGGACTCAACATCTGCACTTCTACTGTTCTCTGGCCTGCGTTACAGGTGTTAGACAAGACGCTCGAATGACCTTTAAATCTATGAAACTATTCATCACTTTTCACAGCCACGTTGGCCAGCTGTTTTGATGCTAGGTTCTAAACCTCACCGTAGGTCACTGGGGCATAGCACCACATTCAGAGCAGTGGGTGGGTTGGAAAGGTCTTCTGCAGTGGAAAGAAAAACTGCACTGACGGGGTGGGGGGAGTGTGTGTGTGTGTGTGTGTGTGTGTGACCTTTTTCGCCAGCTTCTAGTCAATGAGCCGGGAGGTTTGAAGGACAGCTGGGGTCACGTGCAGGAGATTAGTTCATTGCCAGTCTCTGCTCCCACTTAGGGCTGCTTGAGCAAAGAGCCATGCTCGCTTCGCCGGAGCCAGCATGCAAAAACTGGCAGGGTGGCTGGGACGGTGCTAGTGACTTGGGCTCAGACCTGAGGGAAGGCAGATGACGGGCCTGGACTGGAGCTGCTCGCCTGAGGCAACATCCACGCTGCTATTTTTAAGGTGCTAGCTGCAGTGAAGGAAGCGCAAGCCTAGCCACACATATAATGAAACAACCGCCCCAAGGTCCTTATGCCAGTAATGAAAACCCACCAATTTCCCGCTCGTTGGACCACGCCGTGGAACCGTGCCAGAAAAGTTTGATTTCAACCGTTGGGAAATGCTGGTTGTTTTTCCATGGACAACGTTGATGGAAATGATTTTTTTCCTCACCAGTTTCATCAACATTTTCAGTGGAAACTTCCCACTTCTTCTGCAACCTCCCCACACAATCCTCTGACCAAAGCCTTTCCTTTTTGTGTGTGTGTGTGTGTGTGTGTGTGTGTGTGTGTGGGGAGGGGGGTTAGTTGGGGGACGAACATTCCAAACTTTCCCAGGAAAGTGGCTGCTTTCTGCCAAAAATGTCATTTGAGTGAAACCCCCAAGAAAAGATTTTGTTAGAAAACTGTCCACCCACCCTCTTTTCGAGCTCATTTCCGCCTCTTGAGCTAAGAAAGCGACACAGGCTTTTGACGGCTGGCTGCTGTGGGTAGCCCCCTCAAAGACCATTGATTCTCCGAGCACAGAGAAAAGTAGAGGGGCAGGATCTAGACACACGACTATCTGCACTGGCTCCAGGCTGGGATTTGCTGCCTGACTGAGTTAGAATCTCCATCGAATCTGAGCAGAGTCGAGCGCCCAACGCTCAAAAGAGCAGCTGGGGCAGAAGGTACAAATTATTCAGCCGTTGGCCAAAGCCCAGGCCGTGGTCAGAAGTGGGGATATTTCAACACAGACAATATTTCCTGATAGAAGAGGTGTCGGTCATCTTAGCTCAGACACAAGGACGGTGCCTTCACACTCAGCTCCCTGCCGGTCACCTTTGCTGGCTATGGCTGAGGACGGAGTAATCTACACTTATCTAGCCCACCCAGCAGGCTCCCTGCCCAGCGACACGTCAGCCCTGGCTCAGCATCACAGTGAGTGCATTTCACTTTGTGGCGGTTTTTCAGGGGGGTGGATTTTGGGAGGCTGGGATTCCATTTTTGCAACTGTCATGTTGATAAATAGCAGGTCTAGCAATGCACTAGGGGTCAGATCCCCATCTGGGGTCAGCGGGCACAGCTTCATTGACTTCAGTGCATTAACTCCGGATTTACATCAGGGTCACAGAGATCAGAATTTGGTCCTAACTCCACTGATTTCATTGGGGCTGGTCTGGATTTACCTCTGGTCACTGAGATCAAAATCCAGCCCTGACCCCATTCATTGCAGTGGAGTCACTCTGGATTTGGAACAAGGTAACTGAGATTAGACTGCAGCCCTGACACAATTCATTGCAGTGGAGTCACTCTGGATTTGGAACAGGGTCACTGAGATCTGAATCCAGCCCTGACACAATTCATTGCAGTGGAGTCACTCTGGATTTGGAACAGGGTCACTGAGATCTGAAATCAGCCCTGACTCTGTGAAAGAAAATAACCTGAAGACAATCTAATGTCTCTTTCAAATCAGCTTCATCAAACCCAGCATCCAAAACGCTAAAATGTGTTCATCCTAATTGTATATGTATCTCATGGCATCACTACAGGAGAGATTTAAGTTGTGTGGCTGCCTTAATTGTGCATTTCCAGACCTGGATTCCTTTGCAGGGTAACCTTAACTCTCAATTTTGGGGCAGTGCTTGGTGGCAGGATGATTATAACACCCCTGGAATGCTTTTACTATTAAATTAAGGATAAAATATACACTCCACCTTCGCTCCATCTTCACATAGATTTTTGTCTGGGCATCACTATGCTGGGCCAGATAATCAACAGGTGCAAATCAGCTCTGAAGACTATGGTGGCATTTCAGCTAGGGTGACCAGATGTCCCTATTTTATAGGGACAGTCCTGATTTTGGGGTCTTTTTCTTATATAGGCTCCTATTACTCTCCACCCCCTGTCCCGATTTTTCACACTGGCTGTCTGGTCACTCTAGTTTCAGCTGATTTGCACCAGCTGGGGATCCGGGTTTAGGTGCCTCTAGCCCATTGTTTCCCAAACTGGGGTTCGTGAACCCTGGGGGTTCATGAAATGTTACAGGGGGGTCTCTAGAAAAAAATCCCTAATGGTGGACAGAGCTGTCCCTAGGGACCCTGGGCAGCACGGGGCCAGCAGTCCGGAGCCCCTGGACTTCCAAGAGCTAAGCAGATCAAAGCAAGCATCTCTATCACACTGAGGAGATTTAAACTTCAAGACTCCTTATAAGAAATGGAAAGGGAGGGGGATATGTTTTGCTGTTTTTAAAATTAAATAGGCAGCTAGTGCTGTTTTTTAAATTATCATGAAGAACAAGTTTAAGCTTTGTTGTAACGTGTGTTGTTTGCCTGGACTGCTCAAGACCTGAATGCTTGTGTAGGAGGAACTCTTTGAGTTGGTTTCTTAAATACCTTCCTGCTGTTTCACATCTGATACTCCTTGATGAAACCTAAGAGCCTTGTCTTATAACAGGCTTAATCAAAGTATACAAGCTATGAAAGTGAGATCTTGGAAGAGTGTTGCCATTTTCATAATGTAATAAAAATATTGTAATGATAAATAATAATTATCAATAGTGTGTAATAAGCATGTCGTAAGAACAAATTTTATATTTCCAAGATCACTGCTTTTATAATTTATACTCGGGTAAAGGAGAAAATCCTGGGAAATTTTCATTTTTAGGAGGGAGTTTGCGAGACTTGACATTTTAGTGAAAGGGGTTTGCGGGTTGTTAAAGTTTGGGAACCAGTGACCTAGTCCGTAGGAGAAGGTCAGCGAAATGCTTTGACTTGCTTCTGGACTGGTAAATGAGACAGTGCCTCTGAACTCTTCCAGACCAGCAACAGTCTAAGAGCCAGATTGGCCCTGGTGTAAATCGCAGTAAATCAGGGCTTTGCTGATTCATAGCAGCTGAGCATCTGGCCTGTATGCCTTGATTGATTTATTTATTTTCCCACAATGCTCAGCACCACAAGTGGGACCAAATTTGCAGGGGCTCTCAGCTTTCGGGTGGGCACGGCACTCAGTGGCTAGGCTTCAGGGGAGCCCAGCGCATTGGGTGCTAATCTCTGGAAATCCTCCCATAGACGTCACAGCTGCAAGTTGCCGTTGGACGGGGAACATCTGGAAAGCTGTCTCCTGAGACACCGAGTCCTGACTGTGGGTACTGATGCCCAGCAAATCTGGCCCTGAGTGCTGAGGAAAATGTGACCCCAGTCAGTGGCGGATTTAAAGTTAGTGGGGCCCTGGGCTCAGCTTCATTTTTGGGGCCCCTCCTTGGGACCCAGCCAAGAAAAAGAACATTCTCTCTTATCTCCCCCACTGCCCTCGTGTTTCATTCTTTTTTTCTTCATCCTCCTCCTATAAGTAATAGCAAGTACATGAAAATAAAGTGAGGTACCTTGATTGTTTTTCTAGTCTAACTTATTTTTCCACAGACCACTTGAAAATTGCTGAGGGTCTCGGTGGACCATCTTTCCAAATATTGTTTGTACCATTAGCTAACTATTGTAAAGTGCTTTATAAAAAAAAATGTAAAAAAGCATTGGGGTGCGGGGTCTGGCCAGGACTTAGGGTGTGTGAGGGGGCTCAGAGCTAGAGGTGCAGGATCTGGGAGGAAGTTAGGGTGCAGGAGCAGGCTGGGGATTGGGGTGCAGGGTCTGGCTAGGAGTTAGGATGCAGGAGGGGGCTCAGGGTTGGGGCAGGAGGTTGGGGTGTGGAGCGCTTACCTGGAGCAGCTCCCATTTGGTGCAAGAGGTGCAGGTGGGAATGTGGGGGCGGGGTGCAGGAGTCAGAGAGGGCAGGTGGCTGGGGGTGTGTGAGGGGGGTGCAGGAGTCAGAGCTGGGGGTGTGGGCTGGGGTCGTGGGGGTGCTTCCAGCCCACTGCCCCACCCCAGGCCCCTGCCCTGAGCGGCTCACGGCAGGAGGATGGGGGGGGGGTATGTGTAGGTGAAGTGCGGGGACACCACCCCGATTCCACCCCTTTCCCCAAGGCCCAGCCCCCGCCTCTTCTCTGCCTCCTCCCCCAAGTGTGCTGCAGCCCTGCTCCTCCCCCTCCCCCAGGGAGTGACCTGAGTGCTGGCAAACAGCTGTTTGGCAGCGGGGGAAGCCCTGGGGGGGAGGGGAAGGGGTGGGTCCATAGCCTGCTCGGAGGAGGAGGCGGGGAAGAGGTGGGGGAGGGGGAAGCTTGGCTGCCGGTGCTGCAAGCAGTTGCTGGCAGGACCAAGCTTCTGCCCCCGCAGTTGCCCGGCCCTGGGGCCCTCTGTCATTGGGGGGCCCCGTGCCAGGGCATCCTGTGTTTTACGGTAAATCCGCCTCTGACCCCAGTGCTGAGTAACTGCAGCTTTACTTTGCACAGAAAACGATTTCATGCAGGCTGTGGGCAAAGTGAGAGCAAGACACAGTTGGTCACAGTATATCGTACAGCTCTGCCCTCCTGTGCGGTCACATTGCCCGACTGGAATGTGGTCAACACGTACTGAGACCAAGCGGAAGGAGCAGGGAGGCCCGCGGGGGGAGAGGGAGAAGGACACTTGCCCAGAACTTGGAGGACCTGGTTTAAGTCCTTTTTTGCACACTCCCTGTGTCGCCTTGAGCTAGGCGCGTGGGTCAGACTTCCACAGGTACGTCGGTGCCTGAGCAAGTTGGCTTCAGAGGGACTTAGATGCTTTAAAAAAATCACACCCGACCTGTTTTTTTAGGTGCCTAAATACCTTAGGAAAGCTGGCCCTCCATCACTCGGTGCGTCCGCTTCCCACCCGTAAGCAGGCTGGAGAGACAGGGCAGCGTTCTATTACCTCTGTGTCTGTCACCGGTACAAGCGCTGCTGGGCTCTGCGGCCGGTGCTGGTGGCACAGATCACGAAGACGTTAATGAACTAGAGAGAGGTCAGGGAAGAGCCACAAGAACGATTAAACGGTTAGAAAACCGGCGTTACAGCGCGAGACTCCAGGAGCTCCATCTCGTCAGCGTGACAAAGAGAAGGTGACGGGGTGACTTGATCCCAGCCTGTCAGTACAAATATTTAATAACGGGCTCTTCAGTCTAGCAAAGATCTAACACAACCCAATGGCTGGAACTTGAAGCTAGCCAAATTCAGGCTGGAAATACGGGTACATTTATAACAGGGAGAGTAATTAAGCAGTGGAACAATTTACCAGGGGTCACGGGGGATTCTCCATCATTGACCGTTTTTAACTCAAGCTGGGATGATTTTCTGACAGCTCCACTGCAGGCAATATTTTGGGGCAGGTCTCTGGCCTGTGCTAGCCTAGAGGTCAGACTAGGTGACCACAATGGTCCCTTCTGGCCTTGGTATCATAGGCACCGACTTCTGCTCCCACCAGTGGGTGCTCGACTCCCCTCTTGCCCTGGCCCCACCCCTACCCCGCCCCTGCCCTGCCCCCATTCCAGCCCCTTCCCCAAATCCCCACCCCGACCGTGCCTCTTCCCCGCCTCCCCCCCTGAGCACGACGCATTCCCACTCTTCCCCCTCCCTTCCAGCATGCTGCCAAACAGCCGTTTGTGGCGGCAAGGCAGGAAGTGCTGAGAGGTAGGCGGAGGAGGAGGTGGGGCATGTGGTGGGAGAGAGAAGCTTGGCTGCCAGTGGGTGCAGAGCACCCACTAATTTTTCCCTGGGGGTGCTCCAGCCCTGGAGCACCCACCGAGTCGGTGCCTATGCTTGGTATCTACGCAAGGTGGGGATAACAGCGCTGCCCTGTCTCAGAGCAGTGCAGAGAGGGTAAATATTTCCCGGGTTATGATGCGGAACCATCACAACCCAGAAACTACAGAAACGGGGCCAGGTGAGTTCCTTAGGAGGACAGAATTCTGTTACCAACTCCAGTTCCTTCTAGAGTCGGGCTGATTCCTGGAGGGGATAAAAAACAGCAACGAATTTTTAGTCCCTAAACCGATCAGCTATGGCTCTGAACCACCGAGGGAGCAGGGCTTTCGCTGAGTCACCACCCAGAGGCAGTCCCACTCCAGTGTATCAGTGCGAGTGCCTCTTTTGGCTAGATGTCCTTGTTGCTAGGCTACCAGACTAGCACGTGGGAAACCTGGTTTTGGTTCTTGGCTCTGCCACTGACTCTGTGTGTGACCACGATCAAGTCACTTAATTATTGTGGCCTCTAGCAGCCCCAGTCATTTACCAGGATGCTGTTGTGCTCGGGGCTGTATGAACCTAGGATAAAAAGGCAGTGCCCTGCCCTATGGCATTTCCAATCTGGGCCTAAGACAAGAGATGACAGAAGGTGACAGACAGACGGATGGGGACAGCAACGAGCCCATAATGGTCGCTGTGAGGAGCTGTGGTGGCTGCACTCTCAGCCTAGCCATTGTCAAGTTTTTTTGTGGGCGTCACAACCAAGGAGAGTGTTGGTGTCTCTGCGCTGGGTCTGACAGCTCCTCCCCCCTCTCTAAACCAGGATCGCAGCACAAAGGGATCCCTTAGGAGATGATGCCTCCTGCAAGGTGTGTCACTGAGCGATGTATGCTGTGGCTCGCTTTCATCCCACCACGTATTGCCGGGCTGGAGGCAGGAAATACTGGGTGAAATTCCCAGCCCCGTCTGTTGAGGAGATGAGTTGAGATGATTGGAATCATCCCGTCCAGCCTCAGTTTAGAGATCCACTCAGAGCTGATGGCTTACACAGGTTTACTGTATCTCTGTATGATCATTAACACACGTTCACCTCCCCCCCCCCCCCACACACACACTTCCGGCAGTGGGTTTCCTGATCTGCTGAGCTGAGAAGAGCAGTGTCTTCTCCACCTCCTTCTCAGAGACTTTTGCATGCAATTTGCTCAGCTAGCCACAGCCAAACAAGGGGGCTTGTTTCCACTGACAGGCGAGAATTGCAAACAGGCCAGGCCAGCGCGTTAAAGGGCAGAGACGTCGCCTTGCAGATGTCAATGGGTGTGGGTGCACCACAGGCAGTTATCTCCCCCGGTGCATGCAAACCGGCTCTGCATTTCCCCCCTTGATTCTTGCAGCTTGTCCACAGTGCCCGCTTTGGCATCGGATTGCCCTGTGGGTGGGCTGGGCCGGGAACATCGTCCTGCTGGGAGCTGTGCTAGTGCTGGCTGTCCTGGGTGAGTAGCCCCCGGCTGCGGGTTTTGTGCTGTGGCCCAGCAACGCACCGGGAACTCAACACACCTTGTTGGGGCTCAATGCCAGAATCGCTGAGCGGCGGCCTCTGGCCTGGGGGATACAGGAGGTCAGACTAGATGATCCAAATGGTCTCTTCTAGACTTGAAATTTGTGATTCTGGGACAACTGTGCCAGATTCTCTGTTGCTATAAATTGCCTTAGTGTCATTGATTTACTGCCTGGGGATCTGCCCATTGACTGCAATGGAGCGACATAGATTCACACCGGCTGGGATCTGGCCCATTGACTCCGATGGAGCCATAGGCACTAACGTCAGGGGTGCTCCAGGCCTCAAGCACAGACAGAAAAAAAAATAGGAGGTGCTCAGCTCCCACCAGCCACAGTGGTTCAGCGTGGCCCCTGGGATGGCTCCCAATCAGCTGTTTGGAGGGCAGGGGAAGAGGGATGGGGCAGGAGACAGTGGGGCGAGGAAGGGAGAGGGAATGGAGAAGGGGGTGAAGCAGGGGCATGAAGAGGCATAGTGAGGGTGGGGCCTCGGGGGGAGAGGTGGAGTGAGGGCGGGGCCTCAGCAGGAGAGGCAGAGTGAGGGCGGGGCCTCGGGGGGAGAGGCAGAGCGAGGGCGGGGCCTCAGGACAGAGCGG